TAATTCATTAAAAGTGTGTCTATGTACATGTGAACACACCTTTCATATCAACATAATTTCATTTAAATTAACTTCTTTACATGCTTAGACCTTCATTAATCACATTACACACTTTAAAATTATCAACATTTACACTTACTTCATTTAGGAATAATCTAAGGAAAAAATGTAATTTAAGCTTCACAATACACATTAAAATAACCATATTCATTATAAATTCATTTTAAACATTATGCCTTCAAGGAGACACTTACAATACATACCAAGTATATCCAAATCATAAACTAAACACTGCCACCAAGAAGGTGGACCATGCCACACAAGAGCTTTCCATAAATAGGGCGAAACAACATAACCAACTAACCATTTATCAAAGATTCAATCACCTATAATATTTTATTCAAGATTTAAACATAATATATCCCCTAGGGATGTATCTAAACATCAAGATCAACAAAAGGAAACTACAGCTCAGAGACTACTAAAATCATGTTCGTTCAAATCATTCCTTAAGCAAAAAATGGATAAAAAGCTTTAACATGTTTTCATTGAAGTTTTAGCATTAAAATGACCAACCAATATTAGAAACATCATATTTGAATCATTTAAAACATTTTTATTCAAGAACCATATTTAGATTAAAGATCGAAGAAGTTAGGGTGGAAAACCCTTTTTGAAAATATATTAGAAGGAATCCTTGATTGGAAGAGAGTTAAAGGTTGACTATCATACCTCAAATAGAAGAAAACCCACAGATGTTTGATGAAGAAACTTCCACCCACAACCCTCCTATCTCCTTTTTGAGTTTTAGCTTCTATGGAGTTTGAGAGAGTATTTCAAGAGAGATGGGTTTTGTTTTTTTGCAATGAAGTCTAAAAATTAAGTCTTAGGGTTTAAAACACCTTAATATACCTAAAAGACCCTAAATATAATTTCCTAGGTTCAAAAAGAACTTTGGGTGGATTTACCAAAAACCTCCAGTCAACACAGGAAAATGACAGCCTTTTGGGCAGCTTCATAGACAGCTCCAACCAACGACCCATTTGTCCATCAACGTCTCGTTGGTGGTAGTTCGTTGGTTGGGAGTTGGACTATATTGGGCAGGCTTGCTTTCTTTGCATGTCCAGTTGATGCCCAAGGTCGACGGACCATTTGTTCAATAACGGACCGTCCCTTGTGGTCATCATTTGGGCACTGCTTGACAACTTCTTTCCAAGAGATGGGGTCCTCTACTAGGGCCCTTCGTGGATCCTGGTTTTGGTCGTACTAGGATGTTAAACCCTAATATATAGTAGTGTAGGTATTAGGATCATCGCACAACAGTTTCAAACAAAATGAACACGTAAAACTCATTCAAACACAGGAGAACACATAAGAACATTCTAAGGCTCACCTTTCAAACGTCATGGACGTTCTTGGACGTTTGACCTCCTAACTTCACACACTTATAAGGACGTCATTATATCTCTGCTTAACAGAAAATTAACTCAAGAAAAATTCACGAAGCTCTAGTTCAGTTTAGTTCATTTTAGGGTGTTACAATGATGAACCATAAAACCACCATTTGGTGAATCTTTTAATCTAACACCCAAACGAGCCAACCTACGAACATATTTCAATAGATCTTTCTTGGATTTTTCTACATGACAGACACTAACCATGTTCATGCGACTTAGAGCATCCGCAACCACATTAGACTTTTCGTGATGGTAGAGGACAGTAATGTCGTAATCTTTCGACAATTCCAACAACCTTCTTTGTCGGAGATTTAATTTTTGAATAAACACATATTGCAGACTCTTATGATCGGTATGAACATCAACATGAAAACAATACAAGTAATGCCTCCATATTTTTCAATCAAATACCACAGCCTCTAACACAAGATTATGAGTTGGACAATTCTTCTCATGTAGCTTAAGTTTTCTAGAGTCATAGGCTACTACTTTTCCAGGTTTCATAAGAATAAACCCCAATCTCACTTGGGATACATCAAAATATATATCACAAAACCGTTAGTACCCGCTGGTAGGGTCAATACAAGAGAAAAAGTTCAAATTTTGGAAGCTTCTTTCACATGCCCCCAACCACTCAAATTTCACACTCTTTTGGGTAAAGATAGTCAAGAGAGAAGCAATGGAAGCAAGGTCATCCACAAACCTCCTATAATAACCCGCTAGACCCAAAAAACTCCTAATTTCTATTTGAGTAAATGGTCTCGACCAATTTTTCACCACCTCGGTTTTCCTTGATTCAACCTCAATTCCCTCACTAGAGATGACATGACCAAGAAACCCCATAAACCTCAACCAAAACTCACATTTGTTATACTTGGAAAATAGATGGTGTTACTTAAGCACTTGCAAAACTAATCTCAAATGGTCCATGTGCACCCTCATTTTTCAAATATACCAAGATGTCGTCAATGAAAACAATGACAATTGAATCTAGGTAAATTCGAAATGCCCTATTCATTAGGTCCATAAATGCCGCAAGGGAACTAGTGAGACCAAAGGACATTACTAGGAACTCATAGTGACCATATTTAGTTTGAAAAGCCATTTTTGAAATATCTTCACCTCTCACCTTAAGTTGGTGATACCCCGATCTCAAGACAATCTTAGAACATAGCTTTCCCCTTGGAGTTTATAAAACAAGTCGTCAATCCAAGGCAGAGGATACTTATTCTTAATAGTAACTTTATTGAGTTGGCAATAATCAATGAACATTCTAAAGGAAACATCCTTCTTTTTCACAAACAATACTGGTGCACCCCATGGATAAATACTAGGTCTAATGAAGCCTTACTACCGGATTGGTATCCGGTAGTAAGTCAATACCACAATCAATTTCCCATTCAGGAGGGATTCCGTGAAGAACATTAGGAAAGACCTCCATAAAATCCCTTAGTACGGGGACTGACTTAGTGGGAGGATTTTTGGAGTTTAAATCTTTAAGATCATTTTACAAGCCTTAAGACAAAAAATAATATGATCTCTAGTAATAAAATTTCCCCTCTTCCACTCCAAAATGATTTCATTTGGAAAATTGAACTTGACAATTCTTGTTGTACAATCAATGCAAGCAAAACAATCGAACAACAAATTCATCCCCAAAATGACGTCAAAATCAAACATATCAAGTTCTACTAATTCAACATAAGTAACTATATTGGGCAATTTTATAGGACAATTCCTATATACCCTCATTCCAACCACCCTTTCCACTACTGGAGTAATTGCCATAAAAGGATCATTAAGGACATTGAGCAAAATATCAAACTTCTTAGCTATCAAGGGAATAATAAAAGATAATGTAGAACCCTAATTAAGTAAAAATATGCATGAATAGACAATACTTGTGAAATTTCGGTCACCACATTGGGAGAACTGTCTTGTTCACCCCTAGAACGAAGATCATAAAAGCGATTCCTCTTTGAACAATCCTCATTAGAACAACTAGCTTTAGCTTGCCATTTTTCTTTTTCACGCACCTTCAAATTATGGCAATCCCTAACCTTGTGGCCACTCTTGCCATACCCTAAGCAATTGTCCGTGCCAAAAAGGCAATCATCATAATGCTTCTTGCCACAATTTCCACAAGTTGGTTTCTTGCATGGTGAGCTTGTACCTCTTCCCTTTTGAGACTCAGAAATAGACACCCTATCATCACGAGCCTTGGGAAATTTGGAAGGGACTTGATTAGAAAACCTTTTCTTGAACCTAGGCTTGTCTTGAATGTAAAGACTAGCTTTTGAAAACCAGCTTCAATGGATTGGCCCTCTTGGCCTTCCTACTCTTCCTCCTTAGCCTACTTTCTTGCACTTGTAGAGAATGAACCATGACACAAGAGATATCATATTATCATGAAGCATAGCCTAACGACATTTCTCAAACAAGTCTCAGACACCCCCGTAAGAAAATGACTCATCGCATTCCTTTGTTAGACTCCAAGGATGGAGCATACTTGAACAATTTGGTGAATTTCAAGGAATAGTCAAGTACATTCACATCTCCTTGACGAAGGTTGATGAATTATTCCAATTAGCTTCCGTCAACTCTCAAGGAAAGAACCTTTCAAGGAAGGCCTTCTTGAAGATCTCCCAACTCACCGAACCAACTCTTAGTGTCCTATTATCCCTCCATTTCATGTACCAAGTTTGGGCCACATCTTTGAGTTAATAGGCCGCCAACTCAGCCTTCTCAATTGAGGTAACAACCATAACTAGAGAATCTTATATGCCTCATCAAGGAAATATAGAGGGTCCTCATCCAATTTTGAACAAAAGAACATAGGTGGGTTCATTCTAGTAAATTCTATCAAATGAGAGGTCATGATGCTAGAATGTTGAGGCACTCAGGGTCCAATCTCCCTATTCACTTTGGCAATCATGGCTTGGACATGAGAAGTGATGGGATTGGATTGAGAGGTCATTGCTTGGGCCAAATTGAGAAAAGCCTGCCTTATGTCTCCATCAGTCATAAGTAGAGGAACAACCGAAACTTGATCCCCTATAGCAACTTCCTGAAGTAGAGGAACTTGGTTGTCTTGCGGAGGAGCTTGGTTGTTATTAGCTCTGCCTTCTTCGTCCCTTCTTGTCGATTCCCTTTGATATTCATACATTTAACCACGATACAATATTTAGTTGAAAACACATAATAATATTCTAGAGGCAAGACATTGGATTTCAAGAAAATGAGAGTTTTTGAACAACACATAGTCTCTCATTCATAGGTGTAGAGGCTTCACAATTATGAATAAGAATCTACATTGATGTGGTTTAACGAGACATCTTTTCTAAACATATTCAACCTCATGCTTTATTACCAAGTTTGTCGCATCTGGGGATCAGATCCCCATAGACGTAATCGGCATCGTCGCCCTCGGAGAGGACTAATACTAGCCTATTAACATTCATCATTACATTCATAGGTTAAAAATGCAGAAAATTTAGAACTTTTCATCTACACAACTTCAAAAGGTTTAATTAGAACTCTCACTTACAAATAATATATTCATATCGAGTATACAGAGACCCTTCGTATAAGAAAATTACATAGTCTTCTACTTTAATGGCACACATTTATATTAGATACATAACATAATATTAAAAAGGATGTCTCAGATTAAACCATCTAAATGGAATCGAATCAACATGGGAATAAGACCTTACACAATGTATAAATGCCACATATGGCTTACAACAATATCTTGGAACAAGTAGAATGAAATGATCGTCTTTAGACTACAACAATGAAACATAGATCGATTAATAACAAGGCATCATCCTCGGACTTGAGGACATACCCACTTCAGGAATGATTTCAAGACTTCCATGCAACTGGCCACAATCTCCTCATGACAGAAACCTAAATGTTTGGAAGAAAGGGAGAAATGGTGTTAGCACTTCACTTATACTAAGTATGGGCACATACGCACACACAACATACTAATCATGCTAAAAGGGGTTATTTGATAAAAGCATGCCAAGTTACTATGAAAAGTCTTATGCATATTCAAGAACCAACACAAGTCAATAAAACATATTCCTTAAGTCAATACCATATACATCACAAGACCAACAATACTATGTCTAGTCAAGTCAACATGCATATCCACATAAATTGAGCACATGATCAAGATAACTATATCGTCAAGTTGTAATATCAACAAGCATGCCGTAGAGTTCATAACTTCATTACCTAATAAAGACAATCACTCATACACTCCCATTAAATTCACTAGTGCAATGACTAAGTAAGGCCCCATAACCTTACTCAATCAAGTAAACCCAACAAGAACTAGAAGAAATGCCTAACTTTACATACTATGTCATTAAGAGTAGATATCATCATACTTTTAGCAATAAAGACCAACCACATGTTCATGAGTGAAACCAATATCACATAGTGCCCTTAACATGTAAGATCAAAATATACATACCATTTACATTTATAAGAATATAAGTAGATAACAATATCTTTCTAAGACTTCCCTCAAGGCTAACTAGTGCAATGTATAGGTAGCGTCCCATACCCCTACCTAGACTAAGCCAAGCCCTCTATGTCATCCTAGTTAGAGTTCACTTTCTTACTTCATTTTACCTTTGGGTAACATCTTTCCTTAACCTACATAGACCACATGAGCCAATTTAGAATCCTATATCATGGAACAATACACTGAAAGAAGGTGTGTTTACATCCCTACTCTGTTAAAATAGGGTGAAACGTAGCGGCAACTCGAAAATTAATTAATTGATTCAATTTTAACAAAGTTTTAATAATAAATGAATTTTGAAAAGAGTCGCCACCTAATTTTAGGAAAACTAGGCAGCC